CGGGGTCCACATTCGCTTGAAGCTGAGCCATATGCATTGATTTCATTAGCAGTGAGCGTAGCTGATGGGCGGGCGGCTGACCTTAAGCTTGCACGAAGCTTCGGCATGCAAGCAGGTAGCAAATGCGAGTGAGAGGACCTTATGCAAAAAGATGAGACCTACGGAGAATGAACAAATATGAACAATGTGTTTTCATCCTGTGGAGTCAAACCTTTGAGATAAGAGGGTGAATTAGATTACAGGATGCAGTTGGAGCATGGATTCCTTCTTTGGTGCTCAAGTTGGTCTAGTAAGCTTCGCCGAGGTTATGGCAGCTCTAATCCCCGGTACCAGTTCAACGAGTGCCCAGACTCCTGCTTTGTGCTCTTCCAGCCCGAGGAGTCGCCTGCAAAGCTATGAGAGGGAAGCCGCACAGTGGAGTCCACCCGGGGTTGTTGATTTCGCACACAATTTGTTTGACTCTTCACTTTGTTGTTGGTTGCTTTCTGAGGGGTGGGGGTAGGTCCTCGAAGAACTTCACACCAGGAAGCGGGTCGTTTCCATGCACCGGGCAGATACATAGGTGGCTCGGTGAGTGCCCTCTTAATCACAGGACAAGCGCACTGATGATTGTGTTATTTTCCAGACCTATTTAGCTAACGAGGTGAATGATGCAGAGAGCCTGCGCATCAATGTGTTTGCAACACATGCGCAGCGGTGCCGGTCAGTCCGTGAATTAGGGGATGACGTTATGACATGATAGCAACATTCAAAGATGGTGTCTCCGCCATTGTCCGCCGTATGAACAACCCAGTCTTCTTGGCGAGGTCTTTTCTGCGGCACGACTTGCCCCCGGACAAGGCCCGCAAAGAGACAAACTGGGAGCAGCCTGCAGACGTGCGAGACCGCATCCCAGTCAGAAAGCTGGGTCGAGTTACTTTACAGTAAGTTGTTTTCAGTGATCACTTGTCGGGCTTGTCCCTTGCAGCCAGGCATGCTGCATGTGCCTCCGCTGAATTGCCGTAACATTATGTTATACCACCACATGCATATGCATGTATTGAAATTTACTTGTGTAGATGCATCCTCGATACACTCGCAAGTAGAAGCCAACGGTGGCTGTGGGTTGTTGTATTCTTTACTGACAAGGCTAATTATGAAGGCCTGTGGCAGTCACGGGCAGTCACCTCTTCGCTCGCCATAGCATCATTGGTGCCGCGAGTTGGGACGCCGCATTAAAATTGACCGGCAAGGCGAGGCAGGCAGGCGCACAGCTGCGCGTATGGTAGTGTTCTACCAGGATGCTGGTCACAGAATCATGGCTTGTGTGGCCCATGGCGCTCTGCAAGCACTTGGTTTGGAGATGAACCCTGAAACACCCCAAAGTTGTTCAATTATGGGAGTTTCCAGCGTTCTTGTTGAACCGTGCATTTGTGGGTTTCAAGTGCTAGTTTGTCAAGCAAGAAAGCCGTGAAAAAGCCAGCGTGGTCGCCATCGGCCCAGTTATTTTCCCTTAGGCTTCCAGTTGAGTTTCTTTTGGGTGGGTGGATCTTTCCACGAGACATATAGGGAACCCTGGCAGCTCAGGCATCCGCGTGAACTTTCAGCGTCACGGCCGAGAGTACCGCATCCCTGAGACCACCTCGCACTGTGGCGAAGAACACATGGCTCCTTTTGCCTGGGTCCCATAGGGGATGCATTCTGGCCAGTTAACACATCTCTTTTCCCAGCTGATTTAAAGCATCCCTAGGAAGCTGGTTGTTGGATGTTTGACCTTGTTTTGATTAAGCACCTTTTGCCTTGAACTGGTGCAAAGCTAGGATGCATTTTACATGGCATTGGCGGCTGAAAATAGCAGGCTCTAGCACATACTGTGAATACGCATAGATGCATGAATACACACCGGCAGGCATACACACATGCATCAATGCATTGATGCATTGCTGTTGGTGAAAAGTTCGCATTCCAGTTACTTATGAGAAGGGCAAGGTTGTTTAACGGGGCTGTAGCATGGTGCAATTACGGCTGATTGGATGTGATGTGCTCATCACCCATGCATTGAAGTTGCGACTCCGATGGCTTAACAATGTCATGTTAGCCGTTGCTTTCTGCGGTGACCAGGTGCCGATTGCTTCAAGTCACAGCGGGCCAAGGTGGTTTTTGCTTACCCGCCTAAGCTCATCTTTTGCCATGTTGGATTCCCATTTGTGGTTCGTGTGCATTTATCGCCCCAAATGGTTCAGCGTTCCTGTTGAGGTCATTTGGGCAAGGTGTTTGCGCAACGCAAGTGGGCATGAACCGCGGCCCTCACTGCGGAGCCAGAAGATGTGGGAGCGGCCAAGGTACCCACCAGCTGAGTTTATCGTGGCCCCGCTGGATGCGCTCAACGATCCACCTGTCCGCTTCTGGCAGTCCGATTGACCCCATGGAGATCAAATCTGCCTGGGCCCGAACGCTAACGCCTGATACCCCTGCCGGTAGTTGCGTGAGGAGATTAGGCTGCTCAGCTTGCGATGCCAGAGCCATTGTTAACATATGCAGTGCTCACGTAGATTTCCCATGAAAGCATCCTTACTAGGCCTCCATATGCAATTCTACACTTCGGCAATTCAAGGGTAGATAGATGTAAGCAGCATGCCTCGAAGGAAGGTCCCTTGAAGACTGCAACCCAGTGCTGGATGCCCTAATAAGACTGGATTTGTGCACGGGCGGGCAAAAACCTACTTTAGAATTGGTTCAGCATCCCGGATGTGGGATTTCACATCGATTTTAGTATTAGGGGACAGTTTAGCATTACCGAGAAGGGATTGTGGCTCCTGAGCATTCAGCAGCCCAAAGTGGCGTCCCATCTCCTCACCGTGCAGAACTCCTGGCGGTGGCACAAGCAAAGAGCCAAAGTGCTGGCGCGCTGCGGGCAGAAATGTGACAGGCTCGTACCCCTCACTCCAAAATTCAAAAAGTACACATTCGTCGTTGGGACCATTGCTTGATAGATCTATAATCTATATATGTGTATAGGATGTATTTGTATTTATCTCCATCTTTAGGTTTCTCACTCGAAGGAATGCTGATCAATACATGGTTGCCCCTGTTTAGAGCTGTGTTTGGCATGTGGGCCAGTGTGTAGTAGTGCTTGTGTTGCCTTCATATCCATTTTGTTGGATTTGCTGCTTCTTCTAGTAAGTGGCAAGATATTACGAGAATGATATTGTGTTCACCCACAGCGTGCTCATTTAATGTTGACAATGAGCACCACACACACCAACAATCCATGCCAGGGAATTGATGCAAGCTCTCTTGAGTGCACAACCTCCATGACACGACCAAGCCAAATCGTCAATCTCGGACGAAACACCAATAGCACGCCGAAACAAGCAAGCACTCTTTGGCAAGAGCCTCAGAAGGTCCAGGCAGCACCGCCCCCAGCAAGGGAGTCCCAATGCAGTTCTTTCAGGGGCGGCAATTTCTTTCGGCAACTCGTTCAACTCAACCAGGGCAACTATGGGCAATCCGGTCTTGGGAAAGGGGTGTCTGACTTTCCTTTCTCAGACCTCCCAAAGTTGCCAGTAAATTCCAAGTTTTCGAGGAAATCCAGCGAGCACTGGAGCAAGGCATGGCAAAGGCAAGCGTCTGTAAGTAGGGCATGGTTGTTCAATGTTTCAGGTTGGGCCTCAGCCTGGTGGGCTACTTCATCTACGCGCCCTACATGTGGTTGCGTCAGCGTGGCCCTGTTCTCCATCCCAAGTACCGGGTTGCAGCTTCGGCGCGGAAGGGATTCTCGCGAGGGAAGTGACAACCTAGTTGTGTCCTGTTTCCGTTTGCGTTTGGGGGGGGGAGTTCCTGCTAACCTGGGGGGGTCCCGGCTAACGATCAGCTTCAAAATGGGGCAAGTTAGGGGATTCCCAGGTTAGGCGTGGGGTGGCTTGTGCATCATTTTGACTCTGAGATGCATGCTTCCCAGCCTCCGTCACCAATTCTTATGATGGTTCAGTTTGTTTGAATGTGTTTTAGTGGGTCGGGGCGCCTGTCAGGGCAGAGCCAGTATTCTTTGGAATCGAAGACGGTACTCCGCACAAGGCAGGCGTTGTGCAAGGCAGAGGTGCATATTAAGTCAGCCCGAGTCCCAGGCCTTTTCAGGACAGCAATAAGCATTGGGAAGCAATGGTGTAGCCCAAGAACTTCCTACAACTGTGAACGCAACATATCCTGTGACACCAGCAAACTTGCATTCTGTAGCCATTCTGACCATCTCATTTGCCTGAGTTCTATTGCATTTGGGCATGATGCGCAGGTGCCTTGTATTGTCCAAAGTTTCAGAGCACAATCACATATCTCAAGACAAGCTAGGCTTAATGTCAACCTTATCATGTCAGTATGGCCTTCGCCTTTCTCAAACCTGAGGCCATCAACATCGAGGAATATTGGCAGCTGATCGGCGACAAGATTAGCGAGAGAGGCTTTGACCAGCAGTGAGCTCAAGATTTCAACAGCTGCTGCCTACTCATACGGGCTGGCACCGCTTCAGAGCGCTTTCCCTTTGGGGTCCTTTTGCTTCTACAGAAGATGTATTTGTGCGTCCAGCTTCACTTGTTAAGTGTTTTTTCTTTGCACGGGCGCAATCTTCATTATTCGTCCCAGAAGCACGGGGTGCTGCTTTAGAGACGGTCGGAGGCAGGCACAGCGAATTGGGCTTCGGAAGCTGCAGCAAGTGCGGCATGAGGCAGCGCGGCGTGCTTGATGTTGTGGACTTTGGCGAAAAGGATGATACCACCGTACTGCTGAACGGGGCATTGACCCACAAATGCCCATGATCTGCAACATGCAGATGATACAAGCACTGCTGACTTGCCTGTTGACATGTGCGGATTCCTTGGCAAAGGCGAGACAGATAGCTTGAACAGTTCTGTAGGGATTTCTGACTCCCAGATGCTACGCGCGGTTGGGTGGCTTTAGTGACGCAAGCAACGTGCACACGCGTGCTTTGCATGATACGTTCAATCATGCATATGCCCACCCGCCAGGAGCCGGACTGGTATACCAACATTTACCCCCAGCGGAGCAATGACGAGCACATGGCCGGATCGTGGGCTGCTCAGGTGCTGCTGGGTCCAAGTACGACAAGGGACCGGCAAAATTCACGTTTTGTCGACTTGTTTGTTTGCTTTTGCGCTTCGCATGGAATTAGTGGCAGGCCTTGTTTGATCGGCCTTGTCCCGGACGTCGCGGCTGTTTTGCGTGCCGATTTACCGTCTTTGGGTTTGATCCACCCAGCAAAGACGAGCTTTCCTTCCAGCGCTCCCCAAGGGCAGTCACGTAGGGCCTGGACTGATCTTCTGGAGAATGCTGGAAGGCTGCTTGTCCAAGTGCTTGGTATCCGTTTTCTCTCATTGGTGGTCCCTTAGTGGTCGATATGTGGGGTGACCATACCTTGATTTTCACCGAGGATTCGAAACTGACAGATAAGAACAAGGCTGCGAGCCGAAGGAAAGCAAGGAGAACTCGTCCTTTCGAGGCGGAAGATTGCAGGACCATACATTTGGCATGCCGGGGGACTGAGTTGCCGGACGGGTTGGCCGCGAGGGCAAGGGTGAGAGCAAGTATGGCCAGTGAGGAGGCAGTTGTCCTACATACCTATGACGTGTGGTTGTTGGAAACAGGATGCCTGGGGAATTCCGCAGCATATATAGTCTTTTCATGATCCAGGACTTTGGGCCATCTTTCCGAGATGAGTACAGAGGGAAATACGGCAGAGGCTTACAGCCAATATGACATGAGAAGGAGGACAAAGGATAGTAAGAGTCGGTGGGGGCTGAGGTGAGAATGTGTCCCAACGATGTGGACGCTTTTGGAGTGGATGCCTTTTTTGCTAAAGTTAGCTTTGACGCACAGTTGGGTGATTATTGAGGCCCTTTGAGACCTGCCAATGTACGCAAGCCACATTGCTTTGCCTTCAGTCGAACTGGCGGAAGTGCACAGAAGGTCGTGCCTTTGAGGCCGCAACAGGCTTCTAATGTTGGAGCCAGGGTAGATGGGCACATACAGTATTTCCGACGACGTCAAATCGGACCATCAGCCAACGACAGCAAAGCCTTGCTTGCACAGGCGCCACAGTTAATTCCAGGTAGATGAAGTGTCTTTACAAGATAGCTTCTGCCCTTTGATTCTTTACCTGCTTTGGGTACACCGCTTTGTGCTACCAGTTGTGTTTATGATTCATGGCCAGACTGGTCTATGGGCCAGAAGCGCTTTGAGAGTCCCAGCGCAGCCCTTCATATAGGAACATCGGTAGCTGCACTTATTGCGGAGCAAGGCGTCCCTTCCTCACTGCCCCTTCCTGCACCAGTATTTTGAGACACATTGCGCTGCCGCGCCTACCGGGCTCAATCCCAACGCCTCGAGGTCAAAGATGAAGAGCCGCTGAAGACCAAGCGATCTGTCCGCCAGTCCCAGGGGCATGGGTGGCTTTTCTTGGGCATCGAGGTTGTTCCTTGATGCTGTGCGTTTGGCTGATTACCCTGTTTGTTTGGTGCGGTTTGCCGTTTGGTTGTCCAATCTTGCCTTTTGCTTTGATTCGTGCTTCAGCTGGCTTCATCGAGTGACTCGCTGGTGTTGCCGTTGTTTGATGGGCAGCTCTTCTTGATTCCAATGGGCCTTGTCGACAAGAACCGTTTCCATTTTAGGACCTTGTGAGCCTGACCATTTGCAACGTTCCTATATATTGGTTTTCAAGGCTCAGATGATGCTGTGAGGACCCATTCTGAAGGTTACCCTGCGTAGGTTTGAGCAAGCTGCCTTGGCCAAGCAGTGTTCGAAAACGACGCCCCAAACTCCCACTGTTGTTTGGGTGGCTGGCACTGTGGAGCAGCACATAACTTGCGGCCAAAGTCCAATAGCCGTGCATGAAGCAATGTGAAGCCATCAGCTTTTCCATGACGGGCCAGGAGTTGCTCCGACCATTTCCCACAGTGGGGTGCTCTATGCTCCTCTTAGACACCAAAGCGACTTTTGCCCCCCGCCCCCCCACCCCATTCCCTTTCAAAAGAGGCTCCTTTGTGCCTGCCGTCTTCCCGTCCGACAGGTGCAGAAGCATTGGCGAACACCGTACTTCCTTGTGAGAAGCTCAGAGGGGGCTGGGTGCGAATAGAATTCCACAGGGGCCCCAGTTGTTTCTTAATGTGGAAGTTTTCCCATGTATGAGCTCTTTGATAAGCGTGGTTCGTCCACCTCGCTTCGATTCTTCAGTATGGAAGTCGAGCACGTGGCATGATTGTAAAGCGAGAACACGGCGAGAACGTTGCAGAGTGCAGGCGGATGTTGTGCTTTGAACGCAGTTGCTATGTTTGCCTGTTGGTGTGGTGAAGTTAACATTATTTTCATCAATCTCTGATGGTTTATCCGTTCAACACATTGCCTTGCCCAATCATGTTTCAAGTTTGGAGTGCAGCGGTGGGATGACCATCCTTGCAGCCAACTGCCAGAGCTAAGATGCGATATGATGCGATAGATGCAAGCCAGGTCTGCAAACTATCCGTGGCATTTGGCTGGCCAATTCTTTGTCCTGGGGCACGAAGTATTCGCATTTTGCTCGCAGCAGATTGATGTGTACACATTGTGTATGTCTTGCCTTTCGCGAATGAGTAGCATCGATTCTACCAAACGAAGGCGAGCTCGGTTGGATTCTTAGCAAGTTCATCCATCCATCTTAAATATGAGGGTTTCTCACTTCAGGCTCGAGAGCTATCGTAGGTTCCAGTGACAAAGCAGTCTTTAGGATGGGGCTATTTCCCCACATGGATTGGCAGGGGATAGCGGCCCAAAGGCTGGACAAGTTCACCCCTTCCCTTTGGCCCTTCGGCCTTGCGGCCCTGCGGCCTCAGGAGAAGAGCTTGGCCAACCGAGTGGAAGCCAACGAGTCCTGCCAGAGTGGGGAGGGGCGCAGGACGTGGCGTTTTCGATATGGGAGATGCTCCATGGCTAGTTTTCGGTATGACTTCGGTACTTCTCCCTTGACCTTTCGGACCTGGTGGACATCAACGGGCATTTCATCCAAAACCCTGTGCGCACTTCTTTGTCCCAAGGGAACAATGCTTGGACCTGCATGGAGCACTTGAAATGCCCATGTTCGTTCCCATTTGTATGTTTGTTGCCCCTAGCCCTACCAAGTGGATGCCAGTTGCCACTGCAGCAGGGTAAACAAACATTGTATGCATTGGCAAGCTTCATTGCACCATGCTTGAGACAGTGTTATACATGCGGCACTTCATGCTGTAGTTGGATAACCCAGCTTACGTTACGAATGGAGCATTGAATTCTTGGAGGCCTCGTAAGGATCCATGCTTGCTTCGGAGAGGGACGACCGTTCTGAGCTTCATTTCGTCTGCATGTGCGTGACTTGCAGTTGAGTTTTCCTGGACAATCTTGGGCTCGACAATCCGCAAGCTCCTTTTTTGATTGTGCACCTTGGCCCCGCCGAAGGGGAGCAGCTGAGGAGTCTTTCGAGTTTTGGTTCTCCTTGGCCGGAGGGGGTACCTTCAGCCATGCGGGGGAGCTCAGGTGAATGCAAGCGCCACATGGGAGCGTGCCAAAGTAGCGGGACCCCTTTGTGGTGCCATGCGACAAAATTTGTTTGCCATTGGTCGCAGCGCACAGGTTTCGCAAACCGACTTGGATTGCTCGTAGCTTTGGGAACTAGTCCCTGTTGACATGTGCGGCCTCACCTCGAAGATCGTGCAGCAACTCAAGCCATCCGGTGGTTCAGTGGCTCAAAGCATCACCCCGTCTCAGTTCGGATCGAACCTGTTTGGCATGGCGCCCAGCTGCAAACTCAAGCGCGTAAAGGTGAAGAAAGTGGCGCCGATGCTCAGCTGAAAGAGGTGGTGTTTGGAGCAAGCACATTTACAGAACGTGTTCTTGAAGCTACTTCCTGTTCTTGCTTGCGGTGGGCAGGTAGGCAAGGCGAACTGCAGTGGGCGCTGTCCTGGCCAAGGCGGCCCCTTCCGAACAAGCGGCCCACATTCAACCTGATCTACAGTGGCTTGGACGGCAAGGGCAGCATTTGCCTTTCTGAAATGGACAGAGGCGGCACTCAACGGGGTGTCCATGAAAGTCCGCCTTAAATCCGCTTTGCCAACCCTGACCCCGCCTTCAATCCACTTCAGCCCTACCCTGACGCAAAGCACTTGAAACCCACCCCAAGCCCCAAGCCCACCCTGACCCCATCCCAAACCCGTCCCAAACCCACCTTCAACCCACCCTCAACCCACCCTCAACCCACCCTCAACCCACCGCAAGGCTCACCCTAGCTCCGCCCCAGGCACCGACTGGCGCCCCAGCGCCCGTGACCTCGACCCCTCGCTGCCCCCAGAGCTGCAGCAAGCCACGGCGGCGCTCAGCGCCAAAGTGCCACTCTGCTGCGCGCCTCGGCCTTCAAACCTCTGGGGCGTTGGCCTCGGTTGGTTCCCTTGGAACCCTTGGTTGGTGGCTGTCGGTTGCGTAGCTGATTCGGTTTTGGGAAGGAAGCTAAGGGCCTTCTTAATGGAACTCACAACGGATGGTTCATGGAGGTCATTCCTTTTTCCCCACAGAGCCAGCAAGTGTTTTGTTCAAAGGGACGCTCATGAAGGATGGCCCCATATTGGCTGGTCCAGAAAAGTCGAACTGTTGTTAACCCTAGGACTCATCGCGTGTCATGTTGGTCTAAAGAGAAACCAAAGAGAAGCCACCCAGATGTATACCCTTATGAGCAAACGGCTCGGCGGAGTCCCGCAGCCCAGGAGTTGACGGACCTGGCCTTCAGCTCGCTGCTCGCGCGCCAGGCGCGGCTTCGGGGCTTCCAGGTGCGGCGCTGGCCGGTGCGGGGCCAGCGGAGGCGAGGTCCCGAAGCCGTTTCGCAATGGCAAGCGCAGAGAATCGACAAGTGAAACCGCCGGTTTCAGTAGCAAATCAACAAATAAAGACTTCATTGCTATGGGCTATGACTTGGTTTCAATCCCTTGACCTGGTGGCAAGAAGGGTTGCAGCATGGGTTCGCCAGGCTGTATGACTGAACTGCCATGGAACTTGAACCTTTGGAAATAGCAAGCCTCCCGAAGAAGTTCAGGCTTCCAGAGAAGCATGCGTGAACCAACCGAAGCCACAAGAAAACGCCTTCTTTGGTTGGTTTCCTTTCCAAGGAGAACAAGGCAAAATCCCAAAACGACGCATCACTTTCTACGTGACAGGTGACAAATCCTGAGGTCCTGGTTCTGGCCTGGTTGAAAATAAGCCTTTGCGTTGGCTGGTGCGGTGAGGGCGCTGGACGCCCCCTGGTTTAAAAGCGTTGTGACATGTTGCCAGGACTGGCAGGGAGAGAGGGGAGAGTCCAGAAGCTCTGCCCAGATGTTGCGTTTATCAAACCAAACTGACTCGGGAAATGCATCGCAACGTCGGACGACCATGCCCCCCCTATGGCGCATTGAGTCGGCCTGCGGTGTCCGGTTTTGGAAGAGTTGCAGCTTGACCGCGAAGTGTAAACACAACTTTCGCAGTCGCCGCCAGCCACACCACGTTCTTCTTGGTGAGGCGGCATCCCTCGCTGCAAGGAACTCGCCCGGACGCATACTTGTTCACCCTATGTAACTATTTGGGCAGGCTGGAAGGACTGCGAGTTAGGGTCTGTGCCTTTTTTCGAAGGGAAGCCGTGTTGATCTTCATGCAGCCACCGCATGTCGCTATGGTCGCTATGGTCGCTATGGTCGCTATGGTCGCTATGGTCGCTATGGTCGCTATGGTCGCTATGGTCGCTATGGTCATGTCTCTCTTTCCACAAAGGCACTTGGGGGCGGTAGTTCTCAAGAAAATCAGACGTCGTCAGCCGTCTCACTGGCTTGTGAAGGTGGCGGCTGCTGGCCTCAGCTGCACGGGAGGGGCGGATTGGTGGGGCCTCCGTGCTGCTGCTACACGCCTGGCACGGCGGCTTCCAGAAGGACTGCACCTTGGCAGGTGCAAAGTGCAAGTCGCGAGACGCGAGGCAAGAGGTGGGTGGGTCGGTGGGGGTTGGACTCTGCCTTTGAGATGGGTTTGGAATCCAACTTTTTGGGGTTGGCTTCTTTTCGGGAAGGGTGGGCGGCTGTAAGGACACGTCCCACATTTCCACAGCCTGGGTCCAGATTCCCGAGGTGTCCCAGCCTGGGAGTTCTACCCAGTCCTCAAGGCGCTGGATGGGGCCGGGGTCTGAAAGTCGCATTGGTAGTCTGTTTGTTGCGTGCGCGCGACAGGGTACGTCTCACATGTTCCTACACGACAACGACCCAGCGGACGCAAACCTTGACATTGCATGTCAGCATGGGGATCCCTCGGCTAGGGCCAACGAGCTCCTCGGCAAGGGCCAATGAGCGCGAACACTTGGTCGATCAAATGGACTTTTGCCTGCAGCCTGCAGCCCATGCGTTGTAAGCTGGTATGAGGAATCGGTGTGCGCATGTGGATGAGGATCCATCAGAAGAGGTCAATGACATTCCTAACCCCGGGCTGTACTATGTTTGCTTGAGTCATGTGTCTTCCAGAGGCAGGCTGATGCGGCATGTTTATAGAACACTCCCTTGGAGACAATCATGGATTCGGAATGTCAGCATTTTGGAGGTGTTTTTTTTTGGGTTCCTCGTGAATTTGAGTCGCCGGGGGGGGGCGGTATGCTTGTTGAGCATCCAAATCTCTCCGTCCACCTCAGGCGCTGCGCCGCAGCAGCTGTTTGCTCTACCCGAGCGCCTCGCTGGACGAGCTACACAGCGGCAAGAGGTGCGAAGCACGAAGCGCCTGGTGCGTTTCCCTTGGCCTCGCATTGGCAGGGCTGTCCGTGATTGAGGGGCCGACTAGTGTTTGTTGCTGGCGGAGTTTCATTTCAAGATCAGTTCACGCACCAAAGCGAAAATTGCGCCCCAAGCTCAGTGGAAACACAGGCACGGCTACATGCAAGAAGCCATGGAGGTCATGCCACGCATCTCATGCCAGAGCGCCGCATTTGCCTTCTTGCACCAGGTATTCCAGCGCGCTGATGCCGCCCACACAGTACTTGATACTCAGCTGAGAGTTGGATGAGGTTGAAGAACATGATTGATACAGCTTCCAGCAAATGCCAGCGGTGCCCGATGTAATTATTTTGAAGCATGCTGACTGCTCGTTGGGGCATGAGCTTTGAACTCACGCAGCTAGGGTTTGAAAGCTCAAGCAATGAGCCCAGGACACTGAAGCGAGCTGGTGAAGACTGGCTGGTGGGAGGTCAATCCGTGCAGAAGGCGGCACTGGCTGCAACCAAGGCTCAGCAGGGCCAAATCCGTTTTGCCACCCCATGGCCCGGCTATGTTTCAGATTTGGAGATGTACTGGATTGGTTGGAACTTGCTTCCCGTCCTTTCATTCATTCCCATCTTGGCGTAAGTCAAGGTATGATATGCGTTTCTGGAGCTGAACGGGGTTCGGCAGCAGATGTCGCATTTGGGGCAAACTTGTGGAGGTTATTCGCAAGCACTGCCAAGTCATCAGACAGCTGCCTTTTTGTCAAATCGCTTGTAAGCAGAGTTGACGCCAGCCATCGAGTTTTGGAATCTCCAGTTCCGTCAGATCTGAGATTTGTGTGCCCTATGCATGGAGCAACTCGCATGTTGCAGGCGAATCCTTCCACGGGCCCCAGGGTGTCTTGAAGGGGCCGTCAGACATGCTGCTTTTCGGCGGACGCCTTCACATTTTGGCCAAGGTGAGGCAAACTTGAATTTGTAGATACCTCCAGCTTGTCTCTCACCTTTTCCGGGGATGCATCATAATCACTTTCATTCAACGGGTGGCAACTGGCAATCATGGTCCTTCCACTTCCCAGTTTGGAATGGTTCAACCTTGCAGGATCGCTGCCATTTCAAGTTTTTCCGCAAATGGTGCATTATAGTGACCCGGACATCCTGATTCTGCCACTTCCACCTGACGTTTCGTGGGCAGTGCTTCTGGCAGGCCGTGCTGGTCCGGGCGCGCAGTGCCGGGCTCACCACGGAGAATGTCATGGTGAAGCAGGCTCGAGGGGTACCAAGCTGATTGCCCACTTTAATGACGCTGCACTAGTAGCTGAAGTCACTGGGCCCTTCTTTCAACTGGAATCGCCGCACTCACCAGCATCAAAAAAAGGTACCCTTCCTAAAGACAACCCGTGCGGAGACAATTCGCATGTGTGGGAATGCGTCGCGTTTCGCCAGCATGAAGCCAAGCAGCAGCGTTGCCCAGGGGCGACAATGGCATCTCGTGGGCCAATTCCGTCGGCTAAGGCCATGAAGCTGGCATAGATCAGCATTTATCCAAAGTAGGACTGGTTGCTGGGAATGTCATTGGCTGGCCTATCGTGTTTGGCTTCCTTTTAGCAAAACATCTCGGAAAGGCTCCAGCTTGTTTTGACAACTATGGCCGTGTGTCTAGAATGAGGAGCTGAAAATGGATGGTTCCAACCAACCAAAGCAGGTTACCCAAACAGGCACGCCCCATATGCCTCATTTGACACATCATGGGGGACGATGGTTCATCC